CCTCACCACTCTGTGAAGCCTAGAGCTCTGTCTAAGTGGAAGATCTTCCTGAATAGAGAAGGACCTTTCTTCTGTCAAGGACATATAAACAGCTGCGCTCCTCTCCCTGGCTAGAATCTCCTAACAAACTCTTAAGACTGGAAACCTAGTAATAGTTAAGACACTTTGCCCATCTTTACTTTATTGTGTACCAGTGTCAGAAATAGAAGAATGAAAGAAGATGTGTAGTTTCACCTTTTATGAAATTGTAAGGTTTTATAGTAAAAACCCTTGTAAAATATCATGCGCTTTTAGAGGTAGGAAGAGGGCTAGGTGTTAGCTTTATAAAGCTAGAGATTCAAATGCTAAGTAACTTGTATTTCAAAGGGGAAACAGATCTGTAGGTGGGACCAGAAATGTCCAGAATCCTGGGTTTGTCCAGTGCTCATTTCTAAAGAAAAAACATTGAGAAAATGATGTTCCAAGGGCCTCTGAGGCTATAAACAACTCCAAGTTTATTCATCTTCAGCTTACCAAACATTGTGCACATTGTACAAATAATTGTAGATGATCATTTTAGAAAATTTGTGTAATACAGATGAATACAAATGGGAAAAGTCCACCTAGATAGGCACTCACTGAATTTGAAGTTGGAAAATGATGTGAACTGATATTTTTGGAAGTTGGTGGTTTTTTTTCATTTTTAAAACTGTCACATATGTTTAGAGCAAGAAAAATTCATTTTTAGATTAATTCTTGCTTGTCCAAAGTGATTTCTTCTTTGATAACTTAGTGTACATTTATAGTTACATGTACTTTGATACTATGGAAATGTATATTTCCCATATGTAAATGTTTTCACAATCACAGAATGTATTGAATATAATCTTATGTTTATGTTATCATGTATAAGTTTCTCAAAATTACTGTCACATCCTTTGCCTTTTGTCCTCTGTGTATTATTTTTTTCTACTATTTGGTACTTTATTGGAAGTGAAGCAATTTTAGTTTTGGCTTAGAGAAAAGTTAAGACTAGGTAACATTGGAGGTTGCAGGTATAGATCAGTGGTTAGAGCACTTGTGTAACTTACAGAAGGGTTCCTGGGCTCAGGCTCCAGCAACAGACATATACATATATACACATACAGAGACATACACACAGACACACACACACACATATATACACACAGACACACATAGATACACTCAGACATATATACAGACATACATAAACACATAGACATATAGACACATATACATACATATACGCAGACAACACACACACACATGCACACACACACCACACACACACAAACACATACAAGTAACTTGTATATTGCTTGTAAGTATGTTTGAAAAGAGCAATGACTTGGATTTCCACTGACTTTTCATCTAAACCTAGAACTGACAATGTATTTTGTAGATTGATTAAATGTATGATATTATTTTATAGAATTAGCTGTACTGTGGCCATGTGCAACAAATGAATCTAGCAATTTAATTTGATTATATCAATATTGATATTTATGTCTTACATTCCATAGTATTAGAACAAAAGAATAAAGTAGCTATTGACATGAATAACCTTTTTTATTGTTTTTTTTTAAATTTTTAATAACTACATGATTAGAAGAAGCATTTCATTACAGCTTTAACATATTCAGTAACACATTCCAGAGCAAGAGTATATCTCTTTCACAAGTGGCTGTAAGTTTCTAGGTTCACAGTTGAATTAATACAGTCCTGCAATATTTGACTCAGTATAAACCCTGTAGGACATAAAATTGAATAAGTTTTTAACCTTTAAAAAAGATCTCCATTTTGTTTTAGAATATATTGTTCCTTGCAGAAAGACTCATTGTTTTTGCAACTAACACTGAGATGTTGGCGCATGCATCTCTAATCTATATGTATCTGATTATTGCTAGTCATAATCGGTTGCACTTGGATCCTTGGCGCTGTGTATGTCTATAAAGTCATCGGATAAATTTCAGTGGTAATGTTTATCAT